ACTTCCTGCATTTCTTCTGTTTTGGGAAGGACAGTAATATATTCCCAACTTGAACTCTTACAGGAGACTTGGCATCATGGACATTGTGTCCAATTTCTGCTTGACCCCTTCTGCTAGAACACTTAACCTGTTTGTGAATGTCGCACACAAGTTGGTGACATCAATGGTCAGTAGTGTGGTTTGAATATCAGCAGACCTACCATTGCTGTGCTTATCTATCTGCTCCATTTCTAAGTTGTATGTTTCAAGCAGAAACTGTCAGAAGTGGGATTTTTTGTTACTCAGCAAAAGTAATTTTAATATAATGCCTAAAATTCTGTAAGTTCTTTGAACCTGCTATTCTACTTCATGATATGTATTCTCCAGGTATAAATGATATTTATATAAAGTCTAAAATGTGTATATGTAATATTTCTTAATGCACTGTGTGTAATTACAAAGATTCTAGTCTATTCAAATATCTGGTAATAATGGATTTGTTGTAGCTGTAATGATGTTACATATGAAAAGATAGGAAAAGACTCCAGGATATATTAAGTATTCAAAGCAAGATATAGAAAGCTATGTATACTATGCTACACTTAGATGAAAAATGTCAATGAGTATCTGTGGATCTGTGGATCTACAATCATGGAAGGATACACATACACAAAAATCCATAATAGTTAGTTTTCTTGGAAGGGGCAATGGTATATCCAGGAGTCAGGAGGAGAGAGACTTATTTTTTTAATGTAGTTTTTTTTTTTTTTTAATAATTTGGATCTTTCACCAGTATATGGCAGAATGAATTATTTCTCCAGATTCTTCACTCTTCAATGATAGCATTATGTAACTGCATTCTTTGCCATGATTTTCAGCCTTCCACTGTGGGTGAGGCATACAACTTCACCCCATTGGAGTCAGGCTTGGATGTGTGCCCTGCTTTGGTCAAAGGAATGCTAGCAGATGTGAAGCTGATGCAGTTTAGCTGCCCTTCCCTGCTCTTAGAAGCTACGTATGAACAAAGAAGAGATGTATGGATCAGACCTGGGTCTAACCCATAGCCAGGCTGCTTTCAGCGTGAAGGACAGCCACCCTAGCCAAACAGTAGACCCCAGACCATTGGTCAACATTATCTGTTGTATGCCACTGTGTTATTTAGGGTTGTTTGTTACACATCATTATTGTAGCAATAGCTGAATCAGGCAAATTCCATAGGAGTTCTCTTTAGTAACCTCCACTTAACTAGATTCTTATAATAACCAATACCTTCCTTTCTTTCTGAAAAACATATTAACTGATGTTCAATGCTTCTTAAATGTTCATAGCTAGTAGACTAAGCTTATAGCCTCATCTTTCTATCCATTCTAATTGCCCTGTATACTTACTAAGAGTTCTCAAACCTAGTTATGCTTGTTTTATTTATTCTAGCAGTAAAATTATTAAATCAATTAATTTGAGGTAATCTGATGAAATGTGACTAAAAAGAACCTATTGCTTAGGGGCCTGTGCTGTGGCGCACTAGGTTAATCCTCCGCCTGCGGCGCCGGCATCCCATATGGGCGCCGGTTCTAGTCCCGGTTGCTGCTTTTCCAGTCCAGCTCTCTGCTGTGGCCTGGGATAGCAGTGGAGGATGGCCCAAGTCCTTGGGCCCCTACACCTGCATGGGAGACCAGGAAGAAGCACTTGGCTCCTGGCTTTGGATCAGCGCAGCTCCGGCCATAACAGCCATTTGCGGGGTGAACCAACGAAAGGAAGACCTTTCTCTCTGTCTCTCTCTCTCACTGTCTGTAACTCTACCTATAAAACAAATAAATAAAATCTTTATAAAAAAGCTCCATTTTAGACTTTGTAGAAATCAGTAAAAATTACTTGCTAAAAACTGTCATCATTAGTCTAACCCACATAAATAAAAATTGCAAAAATATAGGAAGATTTGCACATAAATTTACTCTCAATTGCTTTTAAATTTTCATCCCATTGGAAAGAAACTAAAACTAAAGATTAAGAGTGTCAAATTGTGGGTTATTTAATGAAGAATTGAAGAATGATTATGTGGTAAACAACATGTGAGAGTTTTTTTGGTCCTGCATGTAAATATTGTACACTAATTTACATTTACCTGTTTTTAAGTTAAAATAAACTATTGAAGGTATGTGTGTCTATCATTTGTCTATGATTCCCTGAGCATAATTAACACTTCTCCATTAATTTCATCTTCATAGAAGGTAAAACATTTTTCCAAGTTCACACCATTTAGGAATACAGGAACCAGCAGTGAAAGTTCATGCTACTCTTTGAACTCTGTACTAAATCTGAGTCAACTTCTAGCATGTTTGTAAATGGCAGCACAGTAAAAGTTTGGCTATGCCCCTGGCTTCCTTCTCTTATTGGTTTTAAATTAGGCTTTCTGGTTGCTTTAAAGATTACTTGAATAAAAATACTTTTATTAGGAAGACATAATGGCTAATCAGTCTGTTTTTTTTTTAGAGCAAAACAGGAGGGAATTATTTCTCATGTATTATAACTTAGAATTGTTTTATTCTGCTAATGAGCTCTAATATGCCATTAGACAAACTTATTAAGTTAATGTTGTTTCAAAGGCAGTGGCTTATAATGCATACTTTTAGCAATTAGTAATTCAGCTTATCCTACTCATTCTCAATTTTGTCCTTTTTTCCTATTGTCTTTAAGGCTTGTTTACATATGATAATAATAACTACTGTCCTAAATTTGATTTTAGGTATGCTACAACATCAGAGCCACTCAAACTGTATTTTTAAATAGCCGTTTTTACAATGTCTGTCTCTCTAGTCCAGTACTCCTATGTTTATGTTCGATATTTTGAGAAGGGTGATGCTGAAGGCTGCATGTTTTCATGTAGCTGATCATGTATATATATATATATATATATATATATGATATATATGATATATATTGTTGGGAAAATGAAGTCAATCAGGGTCCCTGACTGTCATCACTATCAGCAAGCCCAGAAGCTGAAACAATCCTGCTTTGTGACTGTGTGGCTATCTGCCACTACTGTCTGTAAGCCTATATGACGCTGGGGGCATAGCTGAGCATGGACCCTATGTGTGTGCTTGCCTACTGCCACTAGAATAAAGGCAGATCTTCTGTACGCACTCACCTACTGCCATGAGAATAAAGAGGTATGAATCTACAGTTAGCTCCACACTTGTTATTTGGCCTGTCTGAATCCAGACCTGAGCTTCCTGGGATGGAGCAAGAAATTGTGGTCATTCAGTGAATTGCCCTGGGCAGGAGCATGAGCCCTCATAGAGCCTTTGCTGCGTTATCCAGCAGCACCCATTCAACTGCAGGTGCCAACCGCTGACCTCCTGTTGAAACCAGGTTTGGGAAACAATAATATATTGTTACCTGCACCCAGGGCTCTTGAGCTGGGGAAAATATGCTACCTGGAAGTGGCCATGGCAAATACAGAGAGTCAGCAAGGCTTAGTTTGCCTTGTTGTCACCATGGGGAGCAGGAATAGAATGTGACCTGTGGTAATGGCCACTTGGCCCTCTGTGGTCAAATTACATTACCCGAACAAGGAAGGGGCCACTACCATGTTCGAGGGTACATTTGTCTTAGTTAGAACTAATGCTAGCCTCTCCAATATCTCTACATATAGAAGAATATCGATAAAAGCTATGCCCCGTGGAATCTGATATAAGAGGTGAGGATGACCCCTTTTGCCAGCTGTAGTGTTATTTCAAGATAAATCCCTTGCCTATATCCTGCTCAAGGGCTTGGATTTACCATTGTTGATGCCACTTCCTTCTTTGTCTTATTGTCCCTAACTTGGCACTGTGGTGCTCTGGACACACACATCTGGCTTGCTGGATGTGCACTAAGTTACCTAACCGCTCTGCAACTGGACTCAATTGGAAAGTGACTGCATCTACCAGTGAAGACTGAACTTGGCTGGAAGGTTGGAATTCTTCTATCCAAGTATGAAACAATACCTGGTCTCAGTGAAGCCCTAGTCTTGGAGCAGTATAATAAAACCTATCTGTGGTTGGACTACTCTGTATCTGAATTGGTCTGAATTGGTTTTACTTGGTTTTGGGTGCTCACTCATAGTTTTCTGTTGTAGGTTATTTTGTTGTTGTAGAATTTGAATACAATGTTTCACACTCCTCACACAGAGATCCTCCTGGAAGATAACTGACATGTAGATTGTGAGGCAAGGGACACTGAAGAGATGGGGTATTGGGGAAATGAAGTTAGTCAGGCTCCCTCCCTGTCATCACTATCAGCAAGCCCAGAAACTGATACAATCCTGCTTTGTAACTAGGTGGCTGCCTGCCACTATTGTCTGTAAGCCTGTATAAGGTGGTGGGGGCACAGAGTTCAGCCCTATGTGTGTGCTCACACTCCATTGTGAAAATAAAGGTGAATCCTCTATGTGTACCCACCCGCCACTGTGAGAATAAAAACGTATGTATTTGCAGTCAGCTCTAATCTTGCTGGAGCTAAGCTTCTGTTTTATATCCTCTTCTACCTAGTCTGCTCATCCTACATTTAGCGGGGAACTATTCACCAGATCTTCTCGGATTAAAGAGAGTGCTTATCCTGGGCCAGCGCCGTGGCTCACTAGGCTAATCCTCTGCCTTGCGGCGCCGGCACACCGGGTTCTAGTCCCGGTCGGAGCGTCGGATTCTGTCCCGGTTGCCCTTCTTCCAGGCCAGCTCTCTGCTGTGACCAGGGAGGGCAGTGGAGGATGGCCCAAGTGACCAGGGAGGGCAGTGGAGGATGGCCCAAGTGCTTGGGCCCTGTACCCCATGGGAGACCAGGAGAAGCACCTGGCTCCTGCCATCGGATCGGCGGTGCGCTGGCCGCAGTGCACCGGCCGCGGCGGCCATTGGAGGGTGAACCAACGCCAAAAGGAAGACCTTTCTCTCTGTCTCTCTCTCTCATGTCCACTCTGCCTGTCAAAAAAAAAAAAAAAAAAAAAAAAAAAAAGAGAGAGAGAGTCCTTATCCTGACACTGAGAGGATGAAATTATAAGATTTCAGATATAGACATTTCTTAAAGAATTAGCAGCACAGTTCAAATAATTCCTAGTCGGGATGCTGAAATAAGGAAATATCTCAGCAGTAGCACCAAGAATGCTGGGGCGTCCCTATTGTTGATTGGTATTTTTCCTAAAGCCACTTATGGACTTGGAAGTAACTTGAAATTGAAAAGTAGATACATTACATTTAGTCATACTCCTTCATCAAAGCTATGATTTTACTGTACATCCGCTGAGGGGCATCGAGACCCCAGACGAAATCAAAGTGGTTCCAATCTGGGAAAAGTTTGAAGTAACGGAGATTCCTGATTTGGGGGAGTATCCTGGTCACATCCCGGGGTGTGATAAGGATGTCGTGCCCACCAGCCCAAATAGCAGTAGGCACATTCATGGTAGTCAAGTCATAAAGTGGGGGGCGACTCTGTAGAAAATAAAGAGAGCATTTGTGAAAGAAATTCTCATAACAACAACTGACTTCAAATAAATAGAAAGGCTGCTAAAAATAAAAGGCTGCTATGGGAGCCAGTGCTGTGGCATAATGGGTAAAGCTGTTGCCTTGCAGTGCTGGCATCCCATATGGATGCCGGTTCGAGTCCCAACTGCTCCACTTTTAATCCAACTCTCTGCTGTGGTCTAGGAAAGCAGTGGAGAGTGGCCCAAGGCCTTGGGCCTCTGCACCCACGTGGGAGACCTGGAGGAGGCTCCTGGCTTCTGGCTCCGGATTGGCGCAGCTCTGGCTGTTGCAGCCAACTGGGGAGTGAACCAGAGGATGGAAGACCTCTCTCTCTCTCTCTCTCTCTCTCTTTTTCTCTGCCTCTCCTTCTCTCTCTGTGTGTGTAACTCTGACTTTCAAATAAATAAATAAATCTTTTTTTTTTTTTTTTTAAGAAGGCTGCTATGGTCCTATCTCTGTTGGGCACTATGGGAAATGGGAAGGAAGCATGCCTTTCTTCAAAGAATTTGCAAAGGAGGAAACAAGATAAAACAGCTAAGCAAACATTTGTATATGAAATAAAGTATGCTAAACACTATTAAACATTCCCAAAATATAGTGAAAGTAAAAACAATTAAGAAATTATTCCGAGATGGCAAATTAATACAAACAGGAGTCATTTGTATGACTTTTGGGATATTACTGGATTTGGACAGCGATGGGGTGAGGGCTTCCCAGGGAGCAGGAGGAGTTTGCAGATCATGAACATGAATGCTAGGCTTCCCAGATAATTACAGAATAAAATATGCAAGGTCATTTAGTGGGATGTAAGATTGGAGACAGAGAATCAAGTTCTGAATGTTAGATTAAGGAATTTGGATATCTTTCAGAAGTTTTGGGGACAAGACAGGGTCATTTTACAGACAGTGGTCTTAGGGCACATACGTGGGCATCAGTTAGTAGGGTGACTTGAAGGGGTAGGTTGACTGAGGGTCCTGAAAAAAATCTAGGCAAGCAAATATATACGGATGGTCTAAATTGAAACTGGAGGAATGGCTAAATTCTCTAAAGAAGAGAGAGTTGTGAAGAATTCTGGGGGAAAGCCAAAAATTCAAGAGTGGTAGGTGGAAGAATAGCCAGTACTTCAGACAAAGGGAGCAATCAAAGGGAATGAGAAGTCTGAAATCACCGCATTACGCAAGTTCATGTTAGGCAAGTGAGCTCCAAGGAGATAATGGCAAGACATGACATATTTTACAAGCTGAAAATAGACTACTGAGTTTGCCAACTAAAAGCCATGTGTGGTTTCAAATAGAGTAGCTACATTAGAAAGATCAAGACCAAATCTATATTTTCTAAGGTTCTGGAATGAGTACAAGAGAAGAAAAAGCTCTTTTCAATATTGAGAAGTGTTGGTAACACTGAGGTGACAGAATGATGCTTCAATACAATTGATGGGTTAACGGAAGTTTTATTTGCTTGTTTTTCATAAGGAATGGGAGCTCATTTAAGATAATAAAAGGAGCCAGGAGGAATGGGAGGTGAGAAGAGATGGGGTAAAGAGCGCAGGAGTGGGATAATTTGGAAAGTAATAGGATTTTCATTTTCTAATAAAGAAAGGAAAGAAGGAACCAGGACAGAAATATTTTAAGGTAACTAAGAGAGGTGCTAGGAGATTTTATTCATGCAACAAATAGTTATTGAGTACATTAAATACCAGGTACTCTTCCAGGTGGGAAAGGACTAGTGGAAAAAAAAAAAAAAACAGAAAACTCCCCACCCTCAAGAAGTGCACCTGGGTTGATCCTCTTATACTCACTAAAACAGTGGGGATGGAGATGGCGCTCAGAAATCAAGGAGAGTGCAAATTGCTGAAACTAGTTTTTCTGAAGGATTGTGACAAAAGTTGCCTTTAAATGATTAAAATCACAAACAAATAAAACAGGATTGGCCAGGGGCAGGGTGGGACCAGTTATACCTTGACACATTCTAAAGATATTTACACTCTCACATCCTTTAGAACTTGACTATAACTGACTGTAACATGAATGTGTGTGTGTTGTTTCATTTTCTAACAAATGTAAATGTAATATAATATTTACTAAAAGTAAAGGTAGAGAACAGAAGTATTGTTTGTCAAATCCAAAATGAGGGTTCTTTAGAGCTTTATGTTCATTCCTCTCCTTTCTCCTTTCTTCCCTTTCTGAAAGTAAGCACTTCAGCATTTCTTGTGTATTTTTTTCTGGGCCTTGTCTAAACATTTCCAAATATATGCACTTGTGCATATATAAAGTCTGAGGGGTAGGAGAAAACTTCTGAGGATAATGAAAATGTTCTATATCTGGATTATGCTATAATTATACAAATGGATATATTTGTCAAGATGCACTTGATATACAAAATTAGCAAATTTTGTTGTGTATAAATCCCATGTTAAACAATTAAAAAATAAAAATATAAAGTCTAGTTTTTGTTGAATTTAGAGTTAATAAAATCATTCCTCTAATATCTAATTCAGTACTGAGAAATTAACTGGTCTGATGGACTGTTCTGATGCTCAGAAACAACTTAATCGACCTAGTTTTGCCTTAACAAATGATCTTGGAAAGGTTACTGTGGTAGAGTTAACTTAATGTGTTTATTTCATACTTAGATTCAACCCACGATGAGGCAAACAAAAAAAGTGGTGACAGGATTGATCAAAAGTATAATACTAAATAGGTCTACACATTTTGATGTGTAAAGTTCATGTGAAAAAAGATGCCTTAAACCCCACCTCATCAATGTTTGATAATACTTTTAAAGCTGCCATATGGAATCTTATTTTTTTTCAGTTTGTTTCAAGAAGTATGTATTTATTTATTTTGTCAAGATTCTTATGGAACAATTCCCAATTCCACATAGACATTAAAATTATGTCAAAAATCCATCAGAACATTATTTATCTCTTGCTAGAGTTATAAACAAAATAGCAAGATAATTATATGAAATAAGCTTGGTGCTGACAAATTTTAGTTAATGACACCAATATATTAATATATCTAGTTATCTGTAGGTAAATGGATTACAAATGACTCCGTTTCCTTTATATACTCATATGCTTTTTGCATTTCTAGATTTTCAGGAATGAATACAGGTTAAATTAGACATTAAAAAAATCACTATCAGTACACATGTCACCAAATTGCCAGGTATGATTCTTATCACTCTCATGTAATTTTTATCTTAATTTCTCAAAACCCTCATTCTTAGACTATTCGAATAGCTCACCTGATTGTAGTGGTGCATATTCTCAGCTTCACTTCCCCAGTCATACGCTCTGAATTCATCAGATCTGTAAAGCTGAGATAAATGACTTTTAGGAAAAGAATGTTAAAAGTAAGAATCATGACGGCTAACAGCAAATCTAAGAAAAATGCCACACACAGGTGAAAAATAAGGTTGCTGGTTCACCAGGAATATCTGATATCCTTTTCACCATCATGAAAATTGGAGTCCAACATGAAAGGGTCAGTGATGTACCGTGGTTCAGAGAAAACTCAAGACTGCATTAGAAGAAAGTCTAATCCCATATATTTCCTCCCAGGGGACATCACAGCTCTCCTGAGGCCTCTCAGATTACCTCTTGCTCAAGCCCAGGGCCTATTTTACAAGCTCAGAATTTAAGATGGGGTTCATTTAGGTCACTCATTTGATGTGTACCATGGACTACTTCTTTTTAAAATCGGGAGAAATCTAAACATAAATATGCCAACACTGACAAATTAGAAGCAAGTTGTTAAGCTCCTCTGTATTGACCCATCAGAAGGGTCAACTCTGGCTTTTGATATATAAGGACAAGTATAAAATTATGTATAAATGTATAAAATTATGATTCCCCATGGCAAAAACTCTACCTGTTTTATATGCAGGATGTTCTGTATTGATGACCCAGTGGGAGCATGTGACATATACACATCCATTCGACTCTAAGGGAAAAAACACCTCAATGTGTTAAGTTCATGTGACAACAATGATCACTCAATAAAACAAACACCTTTCAGAAGTAGAAAGAGGCTATTCTGAGAATTAGTAAATAAATACCAAGGTTTTGAAAACTATGAGGCAGAATCATCTAGATAAATATGTATTCGTGTCAGATGCTCGAATGTGAGTGAACCACGGACTGAGTAATGGAACGAGCTGTTTGAGAGCGAACCTGCGATGGCTCTGAATCCGTACCATGATTTGCTTATTATGAAGCAGCAGCAGCAACAATGGGCAGCATGGAGCCCAGCCATGAGGAAAGGTGCGATGTGCAAGTATGGAGGTGGTGCGTGTGTACTCTCACAGATCAGTTGGTCAGAAAATCCGAATTCCAGTTTCTAATGTTGTTAACTATCACCTTCGTGGGTTCAGTCAATTTATTAATGTCCCTGAGTTTCTTATTTTATCTATTAAATGAACTTATTAAAGAATCATACTAACAGCTTGCCAGACTTTTGCAAAAGTAAATCTATAAGCCAAATCTTTCTAAAGATTATTCCAAACTTTGTAAACTTTAAAGAGATTGAATAGTACTCATGATTCAATGTCTTAGAATATAATTAACCTAATCCCAAAGGATATTATTAAAAATCTTTATAACAAGCAGACTTTGACCAATAGTTATTCATAGGCTCCAGTCTAACATAATTTAGCCTCTTCTAGACCCAAGGTGCGTTGGTCTCGTTGAGAATACCTATCTTGGGATTGGATTCACTGCAGCAGTCTCACTGGCTGACATTTGTAATACTATAGAGATAATTATTCAACCACACAAGTCTGCAAATGTAACCTCCTCCTCTTTTATTCTTGAATTCTGAATAACAGGAAACATAATTGATGAGACAGGACTGCTACCACTTCATAGGAAGGAGATTCTGTCTGCCTTTCATTATGTTCCATATTTTCCAGATTAAGTGATGAGTTTTATTTGAAACCAAAATCACCTACAAAGGGAGGCTCATGAAATAAGTTCATGTAAAGTGTATGGGCTTCTCTTCTTTTCTAGAATTTTGTTTTTCAAGTAATATATTCAAATGAAATACATTTAAATTGTGTATAGTGAGTTGTGGCTGATAGTGAACATGTGAAAAACTACCACCTATTCTGGAGTGTTCACTCTCTCAACTTCAAACAGGGATGGAAGAATGGAGGGGCTTCCCCTAACTCTACTAACATGATACTTTGGATACCTAAGCTTCTATGCATTAAAAGATATCTGCCTTTGAGAGTTTGGAATACCATATGAGTTTATATAGTATATTAGACACATCAGTATGAGTCAAAGGAAAGTTGGAATTTCCTAAGTATTCAATGGCCCAAAATTATTGTACATACCATATTCATATTTTTTGTATTGGCTCCAGCCCATAAGGACATAAATTCACTACATAGCATCCATAGTATTTTATTGTTGCAGATTTTGGTAGAAGGTATTTTCCCATTTTTATATTCTAAGAAGAAACCTTTGGTACCAAAAAGAGCCTGTGAAAGTAAGAAATAATTATATTCTCAAGAACCATCTTCAGACTTTCATATTCCCTTCATTCCAGAAATGAGCTACACTTGGGGATCTATTATTTTTTTTATCTGTTGTTTTGGTCAAAGTGAGCAAGTCACTCAGGAAAAGTGACTTACATGTTTATCTCCAAACAAGGAAGATTATCAAACATATTATATACAAAGAGATTAGAAGGACCCTCAACCTCAGATTCACTTCTCTATGATGAAGCTCTCCTGTATTCTGTCCACTCAGTGATTGCCAATGTTTATTTCTCATTTATGGGCAAGAAAGATGGAATAGTTTCTTCTTGAGGTCAAATATTACCTTGTAGGAAGGAAAACCAGGTTTTTCCTTTAATTCATGCGCACGTTGGCTTTCCAGTACTGTCCCAGATTAGCCAGATCTCACACTGAAAAGCAGAGAATGGGGAACCAAAGGAAGGGTATCACTGAACAGAAAAGGTAAGATGGAGTCATCAGGACAGCATGGTTAAGACTTCCGGATTTTAAGAAAGAAAGCTCGGGGGCTGGTGTTGTGGCAGTGGGTTAAAAAAGCAAGCTCAGGGGAGGAAGAAATCTCTGGTGGGGTCCCAGGGTTTCTGAGGGCAACTGATAACAGTGGGGAGCAAGAAATGAGATTTAAAAAGGCAGGGATTTTGATACTATGGCATAGTAAACTGAGATATTAAGAACATTATTTGCTTTATGGCTGATCTATGGAGGAAGGGCAACACATATAAAATTGGTGTATTTGAGGCCAGTGTAGTGGTGTACTAGATAAAGATGCCACCTGTGACGCTGGTGCCCTTTATGGGCTCCAGTTGAAAACCTGGCTGCTCCACTTCCACTCCAGCTCCCTGCTAATGTGCCTGGGAAAGCAGCAGGACACAAGGGCTTGATCCTCTGCACTGATGTTGAAGACCTGGAAGAAATTCCTGACTCCTGGCCTTGGCCTTGCCCAACTCCAGCTGATACAATAATGGGGGGGGGGGGGGTTTGAACCAGTGGATGGAAGATCTCTCTCTGTCTCCTCTCTCTGTGTAACTCTGACTTTCAAATAAATAATTTTTTTTTAAATCTGGGCATTTACATAGAGATGTATGTACTGGTGAATTTAATAAAATGTAGCTTATTTAGTTTATTCATATATAGATGACATTCAGAATTGATGTCAATACATTTTGAAACAGAAATATCAACCACCCAAAGGGAACTTACATCATTTTTGCTCACAGTCTATAATAAAGTAGCTAGTATCAAAACAATCATTAGGCCCTATGGAAATTCTTCCTTATGTTAGTTCACAAATAATTTTTTTCCCATTCCTGCCACTCCACCCCAAATCAGGGCCTTATTTGCTTACATATGAATTATGATAATTCTCTAATTCATCTGCTTGACTTCATTCTGGCTCCAAAGCATTTTTTCCATCACCCCTAATTAAAAAGGCAATTGTGGTTAAAACGCTATGCTCTTTGTAGCTATGGTCTTCACAGAGAAACAAAAACAAATGGGAAAAAAGCAACCTGCAACCTTTTTAATGCATAAAATTCAAATCTGCAGTTGGCAAAAGCTGACCTTTTTAACCACTGAAAAATACCCTTTGATAGTCAATGGCTACCTCAGCTATAAGACATTTAGGCTCTGGAATCTGAGCTTTAGTGTGTTACGGCAAGCTTGTATTTGGTAAAGGATATTAGCTAGTTTTATCTAGTCAGTAACATCAGTGATCACACATAACTTGAAGAGTTTCTTTTGGGCATTGTGAACTCACTGACCTGTCCAACTATGTGGAAGAAGAAAACTTGTGAGTAGACCATCTACTGATAGAACACCCAGCTTATCAAGAAATTCAAACATATTCTTGGCCCTATTAGTGACTGAGTATAATAAATTGTCTCTGGGACCTGTAGGCACCATGCACAAATATGTACACACATGGGCATGGGCACACAAACACAAACAGATGCTCACATAGTCTGATTCCTATAGATTCTATCAAATTTTCCTACTGTTCCTTCATAACAGATTGAAAAATAATAAGGTACTATGATCCAAAATGAGATTCTCAGGTAAACTTTGGCAAAAAAAGAGTAGCCTACCTTGATTATGGAATTTGGAAGTAGAAAAAAACTGGTAAAAACGCTTGTGGGATATTTGAATGAGATCACAGGACCCAAGGCAAAATTCATTTTGATTCTTTGTGCCAGTTCAGGCATGGTAGAAAAGGCTACAAATCCTGAGAGAATGTGGAGACAAGACAATCCTGTAAAAATTAGAAGTATTCACACAATATTTCTACTAATAAAAGTGGGAGTTCTTTTGAGTGATTCTGCCAGGATAGTTGGCCTTCAGCCCTCTCGACTTCTAAGTTACTAATTTGTCTCTTGTACTATCAAAGGGTCATTTAACCTGGTTGGGGAAAATGGAGTAGTTGGCAGGTGAAAGGTGAGGAATAAACCGCTGTAGCAGCTGCTGCAGGCGACTTCACTTCCCAAGCATGGGCTAATGAGGACGATGCTTTCATTTCACATGGAACTCTAGGATGCAAAGCTGAGTCACAGAGTTTCCAGAAGTTAAAAATCAGCTTATTGGGTATGAATTCATCAGTTCTTTCCGTGTCATCATCTAGTTATTCCACAGGCTTGCTTTCTCAGAATGGAATGATATTTCACTGCTCTCAGCACCTTGCTGGAAGTGTACCAACCCTCCAGACTTTTCCCTACTTCCCAGAAGGAAAGGTGTCTCTCTGGGTCCACTGTGGTCCCAGTCAGGCTCAGCTGTCCCCATTGCTTTGCTCTTTCACCAGTGCTACTGCATCATTTACAGCCCTGTGAGGGGAAGGGTGGACAGCGCTGCACTGGAATGCTGTATGGATTATCTCCACATTCTGGTCTCCTGAGGTGCTTTTCTGGGTCTTCACTAGTATGTGCATATGTGCCTGTGTTTGTATGTGTGGTTGAGTATGTGTGTGAAAGCATAGCATATGCTGTTTGTAGAAATTTGTGTTAAAACATAAAATTGTCTTGGACAGAAAAAAATAATTCAAATAAATGACTAAAAATTTGATCTAAAGACTGACCCATGTATTTGGAAGTTTGTGTAGATGAATTTTTGGTGTCAAACTGACCAGAACACCCAACTGACAATGAATGTCCTGAGGCTTGGGTTGTTGAATGTCTTACAAACAGTAGGTCCTTTCCACTAACAAAAATTGCTCTGCTTACTGAAAAATGTCATGTTTAAGAAAAAAGAAAAATGAAAACACAGAAAGACACGAAAACATCTGTGAAAAATTGAAAAATATGAAAACATAGAAAAATATCTATGTTTTCTTTGAGATCAATATAAGAGCATGTCTAAGTCCCACAGTTTTCTACACCCAAATCAAACCATTCTAATTCTTGAAGGGTCATCAGAAAATGCATATTATGAAAAAACTATACATGGATCTCAAAATTTTTTCCACCAAAATAAACATCATTTAATTCCATTTTCACTTGAACTTTTTGTAGTATTTTTATATATGGTCCCTCCCTCCACAATGCACATACAGTTCACTTCAGTGGAATCAGACTGAACTGGTTTGAACCTGTGTTCTGCCTCTTATGTGCTAAAGAGACTTTGGTCAAGTCCTTTAATTTGTCTGAACTTCTGTTTTCTCTGCTATGTGACAGAGACAATAATAGAAGTTTTTGTTTTGTTTTCTTTTTTTAAGATTAGAGGGAGACTTTTGTGGAAAAATTCATGAACACAGAGTCCTACACATAATGAATGCTCAGTAAGTGTCAGATTTTTTACTGTAGCATAATTATTTATATAATTTATATAATTAATGATATTTTTAGGTCTCTTATTGGTTCTTTGATACTTTTTTAGTATATGCTCTCCAATACTCACTGTCTATTCCAAACTTTAAACTACCTGTCCATATAAATTATTGACTAATAAGTTTATTATTGATAACAGTAGTGATAATGAAAAAGTTGAAAGAATATTTATGGTTTCTTGTAGTTTTACTAAACTGAAATATTGTATTTTCACATGACTTACTCTCTTTAAATTGGAATCTTTGGTCTAAGATCAGTAACAAGACTATATTTATATTAGTATGGGTCCCTTTGAACTTTTATTTGGAACTAGATTTTGACTTATTTCCAAAAAAGTCTAGATAATCATTAAGATGTAATTTTTTTCAAAAAAGAGTACAGTTTTAAAAGCTTTAAAAATTGTAATATAGTGCTTCTATTTAATTACTACTCCATCAATATTAAATCACATGCTAAATAGATGAACCAGATATTTTATTAAAGTAAGCTTTTGTGTACAACTCACAAACATATGTGACCATATCTTTTTAATTTGTTGAAATATTAGATACTCCCTTTTTTTTATTTTAATCCAAATTGGGTTGTGAAGTACGTAAGATTAGTGTATACTTATCATTCTTTGTGGGACAGTTCATGGTATTGGACTTCACTTTTTCAGCTCAGAGGGAATCTAGAAATTTATCCTTTAGAATCACTTTTTTGGACTTAGGGCACATTTTATTTCTGGAAATTTTTGTCACTATTAGAAGTGTGCAGCTGTGACCAGAGTTGAAGGAAATGTTTGCCCCACATACGCACAGTCTCTAGACTGCAGGGTCACACGAAGGAAATTCCCAGCACAGGGTAAAGATGCAAGGGCACTCTAAATAGCAGTTACTCTGTTCCAATGAACAGGACTCCTGCAAGACTGACAACATGGACCCTTGCAGACATACCTATTGTAGTGCCAAGTGAATGTCCAATGAAATGCAGCTTCTCTTGACCAGTTTTATTTACAATGAAGTCTACTATTCCTGGGAGATCATATTTGGCCATTTCATCAAAACTGCAAAACAAAACACAGGCTTATAAATACTTTTTAAATTTTAAACTCTAAGTTTAACTTGCTCCCTTCTTATTAACACACGGAATTCTTTGCTACTTATTCAGTGTGTATTTCATTATTTGCTCTACTTAATGTTGGTTAGTATAGCCTTTTGCCTGCATTTTCATAGTTTACTTCCTAACAATAGGAAGAATTTCAAAGACTTGTTGATGCTACTTAAAGTTTAGCCTCTTCTTTGTCTTCTTCACTTCCTTGTCTTGCTTTCTTTCTGTTTCCTTCCTCTGTATAACTTGCACGCCTCCACTTCTGATTCTGCCCTGGGATTTCCAGACTCTTAGGACTATATTATACAAAACTCTCAGGGTTGTATAATATAATACAATCTGTAGAAGCAGGACTGTTGTCAATCATGATTCTACCACTTACTAACTGAATAACTTCTGATGTTACTGAAATACTCTGAGCTTAAGTTTTCCTACTTGAGAAATGAACACCGTAGTACCTACCTTACTGGACTGCATTTGCGATCGATAATATAAAAAATGGCTTTGACTCCTAGTAGGCACTTAATAATGTGTTGATATTATTTATTTTCCATTGCTAAAGATATATATTCAACATATCCCCACATTCTATAGTGCCATTTCAGTTGTTATTAATGTTGGAGAACCAAAAGGCCTATATAATAGTGAGTTAAGTCAGGTACCCTATGAACTAGAGTTCTATTTATTAAAAGAACATGTGAATTAATCTCTAAATCAGTTATTTCCAAGTATTAGAGATTGATATGATGCCTGTAGGGGTGGGGAACACCCAGTTGGAAACCCTATAAGACCTGAAAAATCATTTGGTTTGGCCTTCCCAGGACAACTGCACATAGGGCTGGAAACTCAATAAATCTCTAACAGGCTAATTGTTAAGCTGATGATTTTGGATGGCCTACAAATGACATTATACAAATGGCCTTTGGCAGAAAAACGTTTCTCCACTGCAAATAAGGAAGGCCAAGCTACCAAAGACCAGTGATGCAAAATACTTCCTGACACTTGCCCCTTCTCCAGAGTTCTGACCCAAACAATTTATTCTATTTCTCATCTGTTCTCAACATGTCAGTGGGTGCTAAATATTTCATTGCCATGTTAAGAATGAACATCTTTTCTAGCAGCAGATTTGCAAACCAATGGAGAACGTAGGTCCCAGGAAAGGAGGTCTACTGCAGGCGTAAGCCTATTCTCTGGTGACAGCAGAAAATATTCCCATTCAATGAAATCATCAGAGGCAGGTGTTGTAGCACAACAGGTTAAGTCACTGCCTGCAATGCCAGCATCCCATATGGGTGCATCCCATATGGCGCTGGTTCATGTCCAGCTGCTCCATTCCCATCTAGCTTCCTGCTACCAGCCCGGGAAATGCAGCAGAGGATGGCCCAAGTGTATGGAACTCTTCTACACTTGTGGGAGACCCAGAAGAAGCTCCTAGCTCCTGACTTCAGCCCAGCTCAGTCCTGGCCTTTGTGGCCATCCGGGGAATGAACAATAGATAAAAGACACACACTCTCTCTCTCCCTCCTCTCTCTCTCTCTTTCTCTCTAACTCTGAATAAATCTTCAAAGAAAAAAAGAAAGAAGCCATCAACATATCAAAAGATTCTTCATTGCTCACTAACAATGTTTTAAAAATCTCATACCGGAGTTTTATTGTTTTCTTGAAAATAGTATTCTGTACCACCTCAATTACAGTTTTTCTAAGTGAATACAATACCGTTACACATCAACTTTGCACAAGTTAATGGTTATGCAGTAGAAAAGATTTATAAAAGTATTACTAGGGAGCTTGGTTAGTTGTCATTGATCAAGGAGAATATATGATATTTGTCCCTTTGGGATTGGCTTAATTCACTCAGCATGATGTTTTCCAGGTTCCTCCATTTTGTTGCAAATGACTGGATTACACTTTTTTTACTGCTGTATAGTATTCTATAGAGTACATATCCCATAATTTCTTTACCCAGTCCACTGTTGATGGGGTGACAACTAACCGAGCACCTAAAAGGAAACATGTTGAAGTGAAATGGACACTATGAGAAACAATTACTTGATCAGCCCTTGTCCTCACTGTCAAGGAACAACTTAATACTTTATTCCTCTTAGTATTTTTTTGTTCTACTTAATACCGTTGGTTGAACTCTTTAATTAATACACAATTATTCTTAGGTGTTTAAATTTAACTGAAAAGTGATCCCTGCTAAATATAAGAGTGGGAATAAGAGAGGGAGGAGATGTACAGTTCAGCGCATGCTCAGTCGGACTTACCCCTAACAGTAGAGTTAGAAACGTGCCAAGGGAGTCCAATTCAATCCCATCAAGGTGGCATGTACCAATGCCATCTCACTAGTCCCAGTGATCAATTTCTGTTCACAATTGATCATAATGATAGGACTAAGAACCAAAGGGATCACATAAACAAGAATAGTGTCTGCTAATTCTAACTGATAGAATTAAAAATGAGAGAATGATCCAACATGGGAAGCGGGATACACAGGAGACTCATAGAATGGCAGATGTCCTAAACAGCACTCTGGCTTCAGTATCAGCCCTTAAGGCATTCAGATCTGGCTAAAAAGCGCATGAGAGTATTTCAGGCATGGAAAGCCAAGACACTGTGGCAAATAAATAAATAAATAAATAAATCTATATGAAAGATCTCTGTGAGTGAGATCCCAGTGGAAAGAACGGGCCATAAAAGAAGGAGGTACCTTTCTCTGAAGGGAGGAGAGAACTTCCACTTTGACTATGAACTTTTCTAAATAAGATCGGGGTCGGTAAACTCAAGAGGCTTCCATAGCCTTGGCAACTCATGACAAGAGCCTAAGGTGATGACTGACGCCATAAACAAGAGTGTCAATTGTTAAATCAACAACAGGAGTCACTGTGCAATTACTCTCCATGTAGGATCTCTGCCCTTAATGTGTTGTACTATGTGAAGTAATGGTATAACTATTACTCAAACAGTACTTTATATTTGTGTTTCTGTGTGGGTGCAAACTGTTGAGATCTTTACTTAGTATATACTAAACTGATCTTCTATATATAAAGATAATTGAAAATGAATCTTGATGTGAATGGAATGGGAGAGGGAGCGGGAGATGGGATGCTTGTGGGTGGGAGGGAAGTTATGGGTGGAAAAAGCCACTATAATCCAAAAGCTGTACTTTTGAAATTTATATTTATTAAATAAAAGTTAAAAAAAAGAAATTGATCAAAAAAATTTTACACATTATTTCCTGACATTAAAAAAAAGTATTTCTAGGGTGGTTATAAACTTCTTGAGGTCAGAGGTTTGGTCACTTCACTGTTTGAATGCTCAGAACCTAGGTCAATACATACAGTATGTACTTTATAAATACTGGCTTAATGAATGCATTCCTTGTTCATAGCAATTTCCTGGACTTTCCATTGGGACTTACTTATGAAGTATAGTATTGGACAGAATTGGATGTTAAAATGATCTTCTTAATAAAATAAAAAAATAATTTTTGTGTGGGAAAAATCAGTGAAAATCAAAGCTTCTTGCTGTTTCTCTCCTTTGAGATGCTAGTAGAAACTATAAGGAGCTTTGTATCACCCTATGTATTGTCTTTAATACCACCCACACTGTTTCACTTCAAGAAATTGCCTCCAACTTTCCTCTTAACTGTTCTTTTTTTTTAACTTTTATTTAATGAATATAAATTTCCAAAGTACAGAATATGGATTACAATGGCTTCCCCCCCATAACATCCCTCCAACCCGCAACCCTCCCCTTATCCACTCCCTCTCCCCTTCCATTCACATCAAGATTCATTTTCGTTTCTCTTTATATACAGAAGATCAGTTTAGCATACATTAAGTAAAGATTTCAACAGTTTGCTCCCACACAGAAACATAAAGTGAAAAATACTGTTTCAGTACTAGTTATAGCATTAGATCTCAATGTACAGCACACTAAGGACAAAGATCCTACATGAGGAGTAAGTGCACAGTGACTCCTGTTGTTGACTTAACAAATTGACACTCTTGTTTATGGCATCAGTAATCACCCTAGGCTCTTGTCATGAGCTGCCAAGGCTATGGAAGCCTCCTGAGTTCACTGACTCTGATCATATTTAGACAAGGCCATGGTCAAAGTGGAAGTTCTCTCCTCCCTTCAGAGAAAGGTACCTCCTTCTTTGATGACCCATTCTTTCCACTGGGATCTCACTCGTGGAGATCTTTCATTTAGGTTTTTTTTTCCCCCAGAGTGTTTTGGCTTTCCATGCCTGAAATACTCTCATGCGCTTTTTAGCCAGATCTGAATGCCTTAAGGGCTGATTCTGAGGCCAGAGTGCTGTTTTGGACATTTGCCATTCTATGGGTCTGCTGTGTATCTCACTTCCCATGTTGGATCATTCTCTCCCTTTTTTATTCTATCAGCTAGTATTTGCAGACACTATTCTTGTCTATGTGATCCCTTTGGTTCTTAGTCCTATCATTACGATCAATTGTGAACAGAAATTGATCACTGGGACTAGTGAGATGGCATTGGTACATGCCACCTCGATGAGATTGAATTGGAATCCCCTGGTCTGTTTCTAACTCTACCGTTAGAGGTAAGTCAGCTTGAGCATGTCCCAAATTGCACATCTCTTTCCTCTCTTATTCCCACTCTTATATTTAACAGTGATCACTTTTCAGTTAAGTTTCAGCACTTAAGAAGAATTGTGTATTGATTACAGTATTCAACCAAAAGTATTAAGTAGAAAAAACAAAAAAAATACTAAGAGGGATAACATATTAAGCTGCTTATCAACAGTCAGGGTGAGGGCTGATCAAGTCACCGTTTCTCATAGTGTTCATTTCACTTGAACAGGTTTCCTTTTTGGTGCTCAGTTAGTTGTCACCTATCAAGGAGAACAAGTGGTGTTTGTCCCTTTGGGATTGGCTTATTTCACTCAACATAATGTTTTCCAAATTCCTAACAGGGATCACTTTTCAGTTAAAATATAAACACCTAAGAATAATTGTGTGTTAATTATGGAGTTCAACCAATGGTACTAGAACAAAAAAAAAATACTAAAATGGATAAAGTATTACATTGTACATCAACCGTCAGGACAAGAGCTGATCAAGTCACTGTTTCTCATAGTGTCCATTTCACTTCAACAAGTTTCCCCTTTGGTGCTCAGTTAGTTGTCGCCAATCAGGGAGAACATATGATATTTGTCCCTTTGGGACTGGCTTAATTCACTCAGCATGATGTTTTCCAATTCCTCCGTCTTGCAGTGCCGGCACACCGGGTTCTAGTCCCGGTCGGGGCGCCGGATTCTATCCTGTTTGCCCCTCTTCCAGGGGGCTGGCACCGCGGCTCACTAGGCTAATGCTCTTAACTTTTCTTAAGTCAGTTTACCTAAAGGCCCAAAACGCCTCTTCATTCACTGAGAGTGTCTTGTGTTTTCTTGACCAAGTGTTCCCCCGACTGTTTCCCATCCATACATCATAGCCTGCATCTGCTAGAAGGAATCCCAGGCTGCCGTTGGCATAATTCTCAAGCCAATATGCATTGTCTGCAAATAGGGCATGCTGCATGTACACAACTGGCCGGGGACCTGAGGGGAATGAGAAAGAGACAAAGTTATGATAAATAGAATATGTCTGAGACATTGTAGAAATATACAAAGAGCAAAAATCAAAACATTATTCACTTTTCCTCCTGTCAACTCAGTCTCTTGAGCACATACTTAGGTGCTGTACTGATTGATTTTCATGCAACACTTTATTAAATTCTTAGAATCACTCTAAAATGTAGCTGCTATTTTGAAGAGCCTCATTTTGTTAATGAGGAAACAAGGCCTTACAGTAATTAAGTAACTTTCCCAGGAGTCACCAGCTAACAAAGTTCAGAGCCGGGATGCAAACCCAGTCCTGTCTTATGGCAAAGCTTGTGCCTGCAATTTCTCTGTTCTCTACATTCATACATAGACAGTCACTGACTTGCGATGGTTCAACATAGGATTTCCTGACTTTACGACTTTACCATGATGTGAAATAGATATGCATTTGGTAAACCATACTTCAAATTTTAAATTTTGGTCTTTTCCTGGGTTACCAATAGTTGTTAAGATCCTCTCCCACAATGCTGGGCAGTGATATTGAGTAGCAACTCCCATTAAACTCTGTGATCATGAAGGCAAACAACAGATACTCAACGTACTATGTTCCCAAGACATGATGTTCAGTAGGCTGGGTGTATGAAATTCATTTACTACTTAAGATGTTTTCAAATTATGATGGGTGAGTTATTGCAGTCTGAGTTATATCTGTATACTTACATCTAGGGTGTGATTTATATACATTTTTAATGCTTAATAGAGTTCTATTTGTCTTCCTGGGAAGAAGAGGACATGAATGTAAATGGGAACTAATTTGTTCCTCACAAATCTCCAGCCGTTGCTAATGGGAGAGCATTTGAACACTACAGGAGTAGCAATCAGTTCAACATCCCTCTGCCAAACTACATCCTGGGAGAGAGAGTACTCATGGAGAGGTGAAGAACCAGAATTGAAGACTTGGAAAGGTGCTATAGTTTAACAGCTAATAGCACAGGCTCTGGAACCTGCTGCTTAAGTTTAAATTCTGGTTCTGTCACTTGCTATTTGCGTGACTTGGAACCTGTTACAAGTCTGTCATGACTCAATTGCATCATCTGTGAAATAGTGACACTTAGTGGTACTCATGTCATAGGACTGCTGAGAGCTTTGATTTAAAGCATTTAGAACAATATATCTAATAAGTGGGGCTTAGGAGGCTGGAGTTGTGGTGCAGAAGACTAAACTGCCGCTTGTGATACCAGCATCCCTTATTGGAGTATAGGTTCAAGTCCTGGCTACTCTGCTTCTGATCCAGCTTCCTGTTAGGGACTGAAAAATGGCCCCAAGTACTTGGCCCTTGTTACACACGCGGGAGATCCTTATGGAATTTCTGCAGGCTCCTGGATTTGGCCTGGCCCAGCTCTGGCTGCTGCAGACGTTTGGGTGTGAATCAGTGGATGGAAGATCTCTCTCTTTTTCTGTGTGTGTGTGTGTGTGTGTGTGTCTTCCTTTATCTCTGTTACTCTGCCTTTCAAGTAAATAAATAAATTTTTAAAAAATGGGCTTAGCTCCAAATCTTTCAAAAATTCTCTTTTCTTAAGAAATTCTTTCCTATAAAAGTTTTCTCCCTTTCTATTTTACAGCCTAGCATTACTAAACACAGAAAGTAAATAAATAAAATGATCCAGAATCATCCATTCTATTTGAAATCATGATAAAGAATGAATATTTTTTAAATAAATATTTCCTGAATTGGAACTTATACAAAAGAATTATCTGTTGCTCTTTTGATGTACACTTTTAACTGAGCAGTCCATGTTTTATCTGACAGCGATACCCATGCATGTCACACTATCGTTTTTTATTTTGAAACTCTTTAATTATAAACGAGAGAGTGTGGAACAACATCATTTTAGCTGAACCTGAATGTGGATAGTAGGAGAGAAGGCAGAATCCTCCTGGTGGGCAGCGGCAGTAACTGATCCCTCACTGAACCTTGGTAGCTACTCTGCTTACTCTTCAGAGGTTGTGAAAAGAAAACTCCTTGCTCTTGCATGGATGCCTCCTCATTATAGATCAAGCTTTTTTTACACCATAATCTCTCATTCCATAAACTGTCTGTCCCTTAGATCAATGTGTATGTGAATATTAAAGTTTTCATTACTGGGAAAAATTTCAGAAAGGCTATTGTCAGTTAAGATGATTTTCTGTCCTGTAGAGGGAAACTCCCTGACTTTAATGGGAGCAGGAGAGGCTCTTCTGGGGTACCTCACAGTCAACTTGATCCAACCTTGCAAATCTCCTTTCAGCAGTGAGGAAATCCACATTCTTGGGACAGGAGAGGAGTCAGTAATGAGCTAACATAATGTAGGCTGCACCTTGACATTCACACGACAACAAGAAAGCCCAGTTGTTGTTAGCAAGATCAGTCTTGCCCTTTGTATTTTTACATTCTTGTGTAGAGGGAAGTGAACCTCCCTCTTCACCCTTTAAAAATTAATCCAACAACTCAAAACCTATTTTAATAAACTGGTTACTCTCTTAATAAGCAGTCAGTACTAAATTTTAGTTGTATGATGTCTTCCTCCTCAGGAGGGGCATATCTCATACCTGTGCTCCTGTTCTGACTTCTTCCATAGGGAATTCTGTTGATGCAGAGTATGTATCCATCTTTGGTGATGACTTCATACTCTTCACTGGGATAGCCATTGTATGTGATGATTTCACTCTGCCCAGTGGAAATACAGGCATTAGTTGTACTTCTCTAAAGGAGAGCAAAAGGAACCAGAACAAAACATCTGGTGTCTACTTATCACTGTGAATTACGTGGAATCTGCAGCCCCAGGTAACTAAAATTACTTTATTATATAAAGTCTTGATAAAAAAATAGGTTGAATATTAGAAAATATCTACTACTGGCAAATATTTGAGTCATTCTTCTTGATGGGGCAATATTCTCAAGTCAATTATCTTTTGAGACTCTTCTTACTTTAAAGATAGTAAAAACATAGTTCTAAACAAGTAGAAGGCAGTCATCTATCGTCCAAATGATTTCTTATTCTTAAAAATATAAATTCAAAAGAGGAAGTGATGTATATAGCACAATTCTACTTTCATTATGCCAAGTATCTGTTATTCAGAACAGATCTGCCTTGCTTGATTCCTATAGCAATGTTAAATGCCATCTACCTTTTGCTTATTTTCTTATCAGAGATTTTCTGCTATCAAAAGAAGTCTTGAAAAACAACACATTAATCCTGCTTAATCTGATATTATTTAGAATTTTTCATGACTTACAGTATTCATCCATACTTCAGGATTGACTTCATTTTCCAAGTCAAAAAATGCACCAGCATTTAAAGTTCCACAAATCAAACAAGTTGTTGTTAAAAACAGCCACATCATGGAAATGCCTGGCATAAAAAATTTCATATTCACAGATTAATTCCATTTATATTGATTAATGAGATGAAAATAATGCCCTAATGAATATGTGAATAACTCCCTGGGAAAACTGATAATACTAGAAGGGAACAAATACAGTGAACTGATTGGAGCACTATTAATCTATTTTTTTCACATAGAAACTATCTTGATATAGTCAACTCCTGAAAATGGAATGGATTTAATCTAGTATGAAAGCATTTTTGTCTCATTTTAATTAAAGTTTGTCAATGATTTTAAGTATTTGCTCACCTATTTGTTGCCTGAAGTTTCCTAAACATCCCCTTGTCCAGCCCAAAACCCCACAAAGCAAATAATAACAAACAGATAAAGCTTCAACCAAGAAAAAAAATAACTACAAGCATGCCATCAGTTTCCAGTGATGTGACCACTGGCCATTTTTTATGTGGACACTCCAGGGAAGATTTTGCAGCTTTTGGTATACAGTCCCCCTTCTTTGCCATGGTATGAAAGCTTGTCTTCTCAGAGGCAAGCCAACACCATAGCAGCGTAGTTCCTTTATCACATGGGTTTTGCAGTTAATTGGCCTGAAGTTGAAGCCCAACTTCACCAAAGAGATGATCTCTAGCCTTGGGCTAGCTATTTCTTAGATTTTCTTCTGGGTTTTCTTGATAGTAAAATCAGGATAATAATGTGAATTGCTCATAGGTGAGCAGAGAGAAGTGACATAATATACACAAACATATTCAATGTAGTTTAAGTTCTCAAATACTTTCAAAATGTTTTTAACTTAAAAATAAGCCAAAGAGTAGTCTCAGAGAGTCTTTACGTAACAAATGGCTATCTGTCTTTTAAAAATACAGAATTTACTTCTGAAGCTAAACAGCTTTCCATATACTTATTGTCTAACTGAACGTGACTGTTTCCTGTAAATGTTTTGCAACTTAATTTTTTTTAAAATGTAAAAACTAATGTCTGTTGAGTACTTACTTTATGCTAGGCATTATCTTACATGTTTCACGTTATGTTACTTAAACCTCAAAGAAACTCCATAAGGAGTTGGTACTCTTATCCTTAATTTGTCAATGAAAACATCAAAGGCTTAGAGAGATTTAAGACCTGCCCAAAGTCATAGAGCCAACAGAAGACAGGTCTCGGATGAACATGCAGGCAGCCTCACTACAGAGCCCTTTCACCTGATTACCACTCCCAGGCTGCCTCCCAGTCACGATAAATCTCCATCTTACCTGGAAAGGTGAACTTCCCCTGCTTCTGAGGACTCTTGATTGAACTTTTGCTTTTAGCATCAGGCTGAAGAATGAGATATGGCTGCAGTGACAGTTAGAAACTAGAGAGTTGAGAAACAGGAAGCTGGTGGAAATGAGGAAATCATGGCCTATGACACACCCAAGGCATCTCCCTGACACAACAAATGGCATGATGCACCTGCAGGTTGGGAAATAGTGGTCCACATGATGCCATGTTACCAGTTTACTTAATCATTCCGTTTCTGTTCAGTCTGACAGTGACATTTTCAAATGTCCTAACTCTCTGGTACACTTAGGATGAACTCTGGATCCCAAGGGACAGAATCAGAGTATTGGGTCTCTTTCCCCAGCCCCCCCACAGCATAACACAGAGAATCAAATGCAGCAATGTAGGTGAAGGTACTGGTGTTAACCATGTATGGTGTAGGGATGTGTGTGTGTGTAACTCAGTTGAGAAGATGATGCAATCCTGACTCTCAAGGAGTTTGGAACTTACATCATGGCAGAGAACTGATTCACATGCCAAAAGGGTTAAGTCTGCTCTCTACTTTGGCTGCGGCCATTTAACCGCAACCTTAAACAATGTGGAAATGGAAGCCTGAGGAGACAATGAAGGAAATTCCGCTCTAAACTTCATGTGGAATCCTGATAAGGAAGGCACATGTGCCTCAGTTTTCTGCTTCACTTTGCTTGCCTATAAAGCCTAAACCTTAACTGAATTTCTTTCACTTACCACCATAAAGAACAGGGAAAGTTAAGTTGATATCCAGCATGAAACCAGTGTTTCAGGTCTCTTAGTTTGGACCCATTCTCAAATCCTTTCAGAATGAAAGATATTATACATGCTTTTCCAAATCTCGGAATCAATCAAGTGGGAAACTTCACATCAATTAAATAAATGTGAACAAAAGGAAGCACTCAGTTTGTTGAAACAGAAAATCCACAGACACTACAGCTTTGCTCTGATTGACAGTAGGAGAGTATAGGTGTGGACTTGCCTGGAATCTCATGGATTTTGACTTTTAAAACAACTCTTTCTAACAAAACTTGAATGGACTTCTCAGAGAGTTCTAGGAAGCATAATTTATTATTGTTTATTTTGTTCAAATGAAATGAGTACTGTTCAATTTCTATGTTATTTACAGATTGCAGTTTAGCCTAAACCTCAAAAGAATTTCTATACCCTTGAATTATTATATTCCTTTATCTGCTTAATAATTTTTCCAATATATTTGCTTGTATAGAAATAAACTATATAAAATACATGAAGCCAAACTCTTCCACAAACTTTTTATAGAAGCTGACCATTTTACTTAAGTATTCAATACATTTTTAATGGACTTCAAACCTTTTTGTATTGGAATACATTTCTCTTCTAATATCATTTTCCATGAAATTTTGTAGGTACCTTCATATAATATTATATATTATTGTATGTATTTTAATATTCATGCTAAAGTTTACATGAATTGAATTGAAACTTAGTCCTTGGCCTAGTGCAATATAGTAACCCCTACTCTATAGAAACTCCAAATTTTTCTATTAAACTGGAAAGGAATCTTGGGAAAAATAAGTATTAAAGGGCAATCATTTAGAAGGCTTGTGTTATTGTGTTATTTCTGGTATCTCTTTTTTTATTTGATGCAGAGAGAGGGAGAGAGAGAAAGGGAGACAGACAGACAGTGAGCTACCATCCTTTTGTTCATGCCCCAAATCCCCACAATGGTCAGGGTTGGACTAGGGCCAATGCTAGGAGCCAGTCTCTCAAAGGCTGGCAGAAACCCAATTACTTGAACCATCACTGTTGTTTCTCAGAGTTTGCATTAGTAGAAAGCTGGGCTCAGAGTCAAAATTGGGAATTAAATCCATGCACTCTGATGTGAGATGCAAACACTAAATGACTGCTCTGTCAGATATCTTGATCCAAGAACCTTGTGACAGCCTAAGCAAATTATTTAATTATAACTTCACATTCAGTTATCAAGATAGCTGAAAAATATATGTTTGACCAAAAAGTTTGGCTGTGTGATTACTATTTTCCTCCCAATATTCTAATTCCACATACATTTGCTATTTTGATATTTAATCTGTTTGCTTCTTCTTTAAAGATTGTTTTTCTGACTTTGTGCTAAAAGGGAAATAATTTTCCCTTGTAAACAAGTCGAAATTAAAATGATTAGGCCATACCCAACAAAACTAAAAAATCATTGGGACTTTTTTTTAAAAATCACTTGACATCTCACACTTTTGAGACAAATCTTTAATCCTAGAGTAAAAGACTTTATGTGAAGAGGAACCCAAAAATCCATTTTGCACCCCAAAATTCAAACAGGATAAACACTTTTAATAAAATGTTAAAATTTTGCTCATAAAGTAAATTATCAATGTTCATGATCATTTTGATCACTAAACCACACCTGTATTCCAAAACAGCATAGCTATGATGAAAAGGCAGAATCAGAAACCACAAAATGATCATAACTGAAATATTAAAAGTTTTTGAAGAGTTCATAGTAGACTAATAGAATATAGACCCATCTCAATTCAAAATAGTCAAGGGAAAGATGACTTACATTTGAAGATAAGTTACAAAAGTGCTGGCAGCTGTCCTTGATGACAGCCATGTCCTGGAACGGCAGGATCAAGGCTGTTTATGACAAGTTGTCAGGATGAAGAGGAAGGCCTGCACCATTGAATAGGAGGAGAGTTATGCCATCTACTCCTCCAAGCAGGTTTACCTACCTTAGTGCTTGCTTAATGGTAAGAATTTGTGTATGACACTCTTTATAGCTCATTCTGTATTTGAATACTTGTAGGAAGTATGCTCAAATGCAAATTTTTTAAAACAATGTATAATAAACTTATCCAGGAATTCAAGTTTATCTCATTTTAGATAAGTCTCATTCAGTTTTTGTGGGTATATAGCTTGTGATTGGAATGCTGCACATTCCAGTGGCAGTTTTAATGTATGTTCCTATTTTTGTCCTGAACTAGCAGCCTGTTTTCTCAAATTGTGGTGAAATAACATTTAAATATTGCCAGCATTCTTGAAAGTAAGTAAGTGGTTTTTAGTGTTAGAGAATATTAATTTCATTCTTCACTAAAAACTATCACCACAAAAATATTTTGCTGAGTGAGTGAGTAGGTGAATAAATGAAGGGAGTTGGAATCCCATTGAATGTATCTTAGATACTGGGGAATATTTATAATGTTATTATTTATAACAAGTATGAATTATTAATTCCTTATTGAGCACTTACTATGTGTCAGGAGTTTAACTTTGATATCACACCAATTTGGCTATAAATTCTGCTGGACCTCTTTACTCTCAAATATGTTTCAAAGGAATTTTTTCTCAACATTATCTAATAAATTTAATAGGAAACAGAATATTCAGTTTTTTATTAAATTGAAGATACACCATTATTTATAGATTATATACTATGCTAATAAAATAAAACTTTATAACTTGATACCAGTTTTTCTCCTATTCAGTTATGCTTGAACTTGGTGACCAGTGTGGCACACAATCTTGTGTTTTTATGCCTGCATATATTCAAGAAATCTTTGTGATTTTTAAAAATATTTATTTGAGAGGCAGAGAGAGAGAGAGAGAGAGAGAGAGAGATTCCATTTGCTGGTTCTCTTCCCAAGTGTCTACATGGCCTGGATTGGGCCTGGCTGAAGCTGGGAGCTAGAAATTCCATCCAGGTCTTCCAAATGGGTAGCAGGAGCCCAGCTGCTTGAGCTATCTCCATTACTTGGTGGGGTCTGTGTGGGAAGAAAGCTGGAGTCAAGAGCCAGAGCTGGGAACTGAATCTAGACACTCTGATGTGGACACAGGCATCTTAATCAGCATCCTAACCATTAAGCCAACTCCCATCCTGAGAAATCTTATAAATGCAAAATTATTCAGATTTTTCTAAAAAAAACAAGATGTTTTATTCTTTTCTCTTTACCAGCACTAACAGAAATATAATGTGAACTACTTATGTAATTTAAATTTTCTAATAGCTATATTAAAATATTACAAGGAAACAGGTAAATTTTAATAATTTATTTAATTTAAATATTACAAAATGTTATTTTACCACATAAACAATATTATTATCAAAAATATTTTCCATTCATTATTCATCCTCAATTTTTGAAATTTGGTGTACGTGTTACACTGTGCGTACATCTCAATTAAGACTAGTTGCATGGAAAGTGTTTGATAGGGGCTAGCATTGTGGCCTGTAGGCTGAGCCTCCACCTGCAACCCTGGCATCCCATATGGGCATTAGTTCAAGATCCAGCTGCTCCACTTTCAATTCAGCTCTCTGCTATGGCCTGGGAAAGCAGTAGAAGATGGCCCAAGTCCTTGGGCCCCTGCACCCACGTGGGAGACCTGGAAAAAGCTCCTGGCTCCTGGCTTTGGATCAGTCCAGCTCTGGCCATCTAGGGGGTGAACCAGAAGATGGGCGATCTCTCTCTCTCTCTCTCTCTCTCTCTCCTTTTCTCTGTCTCTCCTCTGTTACAAAATAAAAGTGTGTGATAGTCACATCTGAGTGCTTGGGTGTAGGAGACAGTGCAGTTGTAAAATATCAGTCTTGTGCTATATTTTTTGGCTTAGTTTTCTTTTTCTTTTTTCAAACATCAATCAGCTTCTTATTTTTCCATATAGCACTCATCCTAAATATATAATGTGTTATATATTTAATCTGAATTGAATATCTGCCAGACTTCCTACTATATGAAAAATTAAACACCTCTCCTCAGGCACTTGGTTTCTGACCCTCAACTGAGATTTCAGTTTTATTGTCCAACATAAACACATATTTGCACAAATATTTAACTATAATCCTTTACCAAAAGCATAATATCTACCAGTGTTTTTGGTATTGGTAAATCTAGAAAGACAGCTTATTATATTGGCTATATGAGAAATGAAATGCTAAACTATTACTTTACAGTAGCTTTCTAATGACTTAAGATTTCCTGATAAAATGTCACTAAAATGATTATACCATCATTTATGTGATTGACAATTTCCTGGCTCTCACTCTTCTGAGAATGTTGATTGAAGAAACCATTATACCCATATATGTGTATGCACATAGACAATGGCTTTCATGAGAGAGTTTGTTTTGAGACCTGGGTATCAGTACAAATTTAAATATTAGGACTGAGTCTCTAATATGAAACTGAGAAAATCTTTGTGCTTTCTTAATTTTGTTTTGTCAAATAGCCATGTAATAGTTTAAACTACCTTCATTTCTACCTGGGTCATCTAAGTCTTTTAAAACTAGACTCCCTGCCATGCATTTAATTAATTCTAAACATGGTAGCTATTGTTGTCATAATAAATCACGTGTCTGAATATGTTTTATGCACTCTTGAGATTAAAATTGTTCAGTCACTTTGCTTTAAAAATCCTATGAGTGGGGACCAGGGCTGTGGCATAGTGGGTAAAGCTGCAGCCTGCAGTACCGGTATCCCATATGGGCGCCAGTTCAAGTCCTGGGAGCTCCACTTCTGATCCAGCTTTCTGCTATGGCCTGGGAAAGCAGAGGAAGATGGCCCAAGGCCCTGAGCCTCTGTACACACCTGTGTGGGAGACCCAGAAGAAGCTCCTGGCTCCTGGCTTCAGATTGGTGCAGCTCTGGCTGTGTGGCCACTTGGGAAGTGAACCAGTGGATGGAAGATTTTCTCTCTCCCTGACTCAGCCTTCTGTAACTCTGCTTTTCAAATAAATTCATAAATAAATAATATTTAAAAAGAAAATCCTGTGAGTGATCAAGAAGGATTAAAAATCAGGCTCTGCCAACCTCTTCAAGCTTAGTTTGCCTGCTTTCTTTCTGGCTCCCTGTGTTTCTTTAATGTTCTCTATTACGCCTCGTTCCTTGCCACCCACATAAGTCACTTGCCTATAATATCTGACAGATATTGCAAATCTCGGCCAAAACTTCATGTCCTTGAGAAGATACCCTGTGCACCAGATGATGGGGCACATCCTTTTGGTGGATTCATCACAGTTATAATTTAAGATTTAAATATATAACTAGCTGTGGAGTATCTGCCTTTCTTATTACTCTGTAAACTCCACTTGGGCAAGAACAGTGTCTACTGTGTTGTTCTTCTTGTTCTGAATGCCTAGCTAGTTCATGATAGATAGCTATAGCACTATAACTAAGGATTGAGAGTTTGAGTATCAAAAGAGCTTCTAAAGTTCAGAGAACAATTATTTCAAAGCAAGTTGCCCAATATATCTACATTTCAGTTAAATCTATTAAGAAGAGGTAAAAACAGTGCCATTGTATAATGCTATCATAAAAATTAAATGAGATAATTATGTAAAGTGTTTAGACTCATTTCCTGTAGAAAAGGCTCAATGAACATGAAGGAGGTGATTTGTTTTAAAAAAATTTATTTGTCTGAAAGTCAAAGTTACAGAGAGAGAGAGAGAAAGGAGGAGACTGAGAGAAATCTTCCATCTGCTCGTTCACAAATGGCCACAACAGCTGGAGCTGGGCAGATCAAAGCCAGAAGCCAGGATCTTCTTTTGGGGTCTTCCACGTGGATGCAGAGGCCCAAACCCCTGGGCCATCTTCAGCTGCTTTCTGAAGTGCATTCACAGGGAGCCAGATCAGAAGTACAGCAGCCAGGACTTGAACTGGCACCCCTATGGGGTGGCTTTACACACTGTGCTACAACGTTGGCCACTGGAGGTGAGTTTTTTTCAAAATACATACTTCCACTATTTCTCTCGCTTCCAAGTACACCAAGGAACACTTGGGGACTAGGACTTCCTACGTGTTTTATTACAGGGAAAGTATGTGCTAATTGGCTAAAAAACTGGTGTACTTCTTTTTGACAGTTATAGTTTCTGATCAATATTATCAACAGTGTTTCAGTTTATGCTCTGCAGCTTCCTATAAGTACCACTTGCATGATTCACCATGTGAAGTGCAGTCATTTCTGGGACACTGACAAGTTTGGCTGTCAGGATATGCCAGTCTGATATTCCTCAGTCACCAAAGAGGTACCTCCCTGTGGAGACTTTTGGTTCACCTTCAGCCAGCCTTCCCCATCAAAGCTCAGATATCACTTAACCGCCTTCCTGTCACATACATAGCCCCTTTACTTATGCCAAGAAATTCTTAAGGAATGAGTTTTAGGCAAGCCATATTCATTATTTATTGTAAAAGTACCCAAATTTCTACAGGATTCAATAAAACACTGTGTAACAAGAGAGGAAGCTCCTATGCATTAAATGACCATTGATCACTGACAGTGCTGGGATGACTGTGAATGAAATCATGAGTGAGACAGATATGGTCCCTGTCATCAGGAAGCTGGCTTCCCACCCAAGTTCATTTGGGAACCAGATAATCCTCAGACTCTGTTGCTTTCTCTGCCTACAGACTCCCACATTTCTTCCTTCACAACTTACATCATCCTATGCCTTTTCTGCCCTTTCAGCTTTCTGTGATCTCATTCTTTGAGGTTCAATAATATCTTGTGTCTAATCATTCATGGGGCATTGATGTCCAGTAAAAATGTTGTTACTTTTCACATATGTATGACTGTATCCATATGTAGGTCACCACCATAAAAGCACATGGAAGTTATCTTGGCAATGAGAGCAACCAGCTAGGTATTTGCTATTTGATCTTGGTTACCTTAGTTATTTCTGATATTTAGTTTCTTCAAATGTAAAATATGGGTAATATTATATAACTCATAAACTATTGTGATGATCCAATGACATAATGTGTACTTTGCATATTACTTGGCACAGCAAGAATTTAATAAATACTAATTCTCTAGCCCCATATGCACAGTCAACACCTCTTCTCCTCTTCCCATAGCAGAAAGCACTGCATCAGATAAAATATTAGAGATTATTTAATTGATTAATTCAAAATAATTGGCAGATACTATTACATGGCAATATTGAACTGTGAGAAGCTATAAGGCATCATGATTAATCAAGAGTATTGGCCTCTGTCATGAGATAGCTTTGGGTTCATCCCTGCCTTTGCCATTTCAGGAAATTATTAACTGCAGACTGTCACTCTCTCTCTTTTATTTTTTTTGATAGGCAGAGTGGACAGTGAGAGAGAGAGAGAGACAGAAAGGTCTTCCTTTTCCGTTGGTTCACCCCTCAATGGCTGCTGCGGCCGGCACGCTGCAGCTGGCACACTGCAGCTCCAAAGCCAGGAGCCAGGTGCTTCCTGCTGGTCTCCCATGTGGGTGCAGAGCCCAAGCACTTGGGCCATCCTCCACTGCACTCCCTGGCCACAGCAGAGAGGTGGCCTGGAAGAGGGGCAACCGGGACATAATCTGGCGCCCCAACCGGGACTAGAACCAGGTATTCTGGCGCCGCTAGGCAGAGGATTAGCCTAGTGAGCCTCGGGGCTGGCCTTTCACTCTCT